TGATATCCACTTTCTAGGGCAGCCGAACAGTCACTTAGGGTTTAGGGTTCAAAAACAGTCCCTTAGAGAGCTGAATAGAGCAACACACAATCGGAGGGGAAAAAAAATAGCTGAACAGTCCCTACTCAGATTTTAGGACATTAACAGTCCATCGAAAGAGTGCAAGAAGAGAACCATAAACAGAGAAACTTCAGTTCTGTACCCAGGTCACCCGAACTGTGAATAGGCAGTACACTCATGGACCCAGTCTTCTCTGCAGGACAGAACCCTTCTTCGTACATCTGGGATGGTTTTCTACAGTCTTCTTAGCCGAGCAACCCCAGAAAACATGTAGCAGAATCCTTTTCTGCGCTAGGAAGTTGAACAGTCAGCTTTCTTGTAGCAGAACCCTACACGGCAGTGGAGACAAACCGCAGCACTAGAGAATGCTTCCTCTTCCTTGTCTTCGAGCATCAGGACTATAGCTTCTACGCAGCAGTGAAGAGAGACCTCAGCTGGTTGTTTTCCAGGTCTAGTCGGTCCTGCTCTGATACCATGTTGAGCAAAAGAAGAAGAAGAAGTAGAAGAAGAGAGAAGAGGCTGCAGACTTAAGGCCTCAAAAGAACTGCTTCATGTGAGTGAAGCATTTGTATTTATACTATACTGGCTGTACAACACAAGAGGTCTACAAAATTACAAAAATACCCCTACGGGCACTAAACCTGCGTACAGTACATATAATACACCTGTCAACAGAGATGGTAGGTGTTTTTTTTTGCTAGTTTCTGCAGTTGCTCTGAGGGGATTGGTTCTCTGGGGTTGGGACTTGGGAGTTGGTTCTTACATCATCTTATCTGTTACCATACAGAGTAAACATCTTCAGATGGTTATCTGTATGGCCAACCGTTTTGCTCACAATCTAGCAAGAGGTGTCAGAGGGGTTGATTTTTATTGGCAAGCCTTCTTCCTTAGCTTTTGTAGTTTGCTATTGCTTTGTGTCCTGTTCTGGCCAGGTTCTGTAGTTCTCTTATTTGAAGGGAAAATTTTCTGCTTCTACATCTTTTTTTTTTTTTTTTTTGCAAATAAAATTTCCACAACCTTTGCTATAGGGAAATGGTAAAGGAATGCAAGCTACTATTGCAAATCTTCCTACTATCTTTTTTGTCCTCCCTATGCTTGCTTGTGTGGTAGAAAGCTAGTTTTAGATACAATTGTGCCTCTCTTTTTGTAAAATTTGACTTAAACATTATGCTTATTTGACAGTTATGGTTGTATATTACATTCTACAGGAACATTTTGTTTTCTGTTACTTTGTATCTTTTGTTTTCTTTTTTGGTCATTGTTTTTACTTCTTTTTTTTGCATCTTGTTTTTTCACAATTATTATAGCAAGGTATTGATGATAGTGTGTTCTTTTCTTAATGCCATTATCTTTAGAAAAACTCCATGATCTTCCAGCTGAAAAAAAAAGAACTTAATGATCCTTTATTGTTTGTGCCACTAACTTCATCCGAAGGTTCATTCTAAGTTTGATACCTTGAATATAATGGATAGGCATGCAGGGGGGATGTTTGCTCCCATATTTTCTGATTCTTGGCTGTAAGTTTAATTTTGATGCCAGTACATTATCCGGTTAACCATGCTCTTACCAAATATCTTCTAAATCATTTAGGTCTTGCATGGTTATTTTGTGTTTGGATCTGCTTCATTATTTTCAGTTTACTGCATAGTATTTGATATCTAATAGACAATTGTAAAATTGTTCTTCAGGGAATTGAAATGCTTTCTCTTGGATCTTTTAAAACTGGTGCTATTCTTCTGGTAAGAACTGGGTGTATTTAATTACATATTTGCAAAGGAGTTTGTTTTCATGAACTGTATGTATGTATATATACATACGTATTCCTTGTTGAGGTTCTTTGTATATGCATTTTGTTGACTATATATTTTATGTTTTAAGAATCTGGACCATTGAATGTGCCAACTAAAACATTGGCTTTGTTAGAAGTGTTAAAAGCATGTTGGGTTTATTTATCTTGTTCAATAGTAGGTGTTTTGAGTTGACTGTTTACTATTTGTTAGAATTATAGTGGGTAGTTATTATAATGAAATAAGTGGGGAATTTTCTCCATTGTTTTTCTCCTTTCTTTCTCCTTTGTTCTCTTATTTCTTCTCTTCTCTCTGCTCTCATTTTTTCATTTGCAGGTTGAGCACCAAATATAAGCATAATCAGGAATGTTCTTAACTTTAAGTGGAACTCCTCCATTGTCCATTTAAAACTATTAAATCAGATATTTATAGTCCCTCTGTCCTTTTAGAGTCTATCATTCAATTTTTGAGTTCTTACCTTGCTTAAAAATTATGTTATGCACTTATGCTTGCATTATAATTTTCTTGGATCCTCTTTTCTTATTTTTACACTTTACAACTTGAATGCATCCTAATCTTTTTTTTTTTTTTT